CAGATCTTGAATGACAATAGGACTTGAACTCAAGACACGCCGGCCATGAGTTCATGACTAAAACCACTAGGATACCGCGGCCACTCATTTATTAAGGGGAATGCTTTATTATATTCGTCCAGTATAAGTATATGAGAATTCAATTTGATTTTAATTGATGACGCACTTTAAAGCAACACATGGGCTTTTGGTATGGGACCTCGTACTTAAGAATTAACGTTAGGTGATGAGGAGGAAACATGAGTTATGTGGTTCCTCCTTTTCAAACTGCCTCATTACACTAAAGGAGGACTTTGAGCCTCAAAAGATTTAAAGTATATCAGCTCTTCTATATGGTGGGCCTTCAGTAGCACTTGGTTTCGAAACCGCGACTCGATAAGTTCGGGACCAGGATCACTCGGCTACCACGTATAACTGTGTGAGAAAAAATGTAATGTAACAGAGACAAAAATAAAAAATACATTATAATTTTTTTTTTTTTACATAATTTTTATTATATTTATTTTTTCCCCAAGATCGACTCTGTATAAATATTTTTCTCAATTCTTATTTTATTAAATGTTTTCCTAAATATAAACAAGTAATATAGAAAAAAATTAAGTCAATTCCTACTTAGATCAACAAAGAAAAATTTTATTTTAGTTATTTTTTATTAAATAATTACAATTAATATTTAAATATATATATATATACATTTGTGAGAGAATCACACTATTAAGTGGGAAAATATAAAGAGCGATTTTCCTTTCTATATATGGTTTTGTTCAATTATTTTTATTTGTTACTATTTATTCTCAGAAATTATCTGCACTCTTTAGTTAGGCCATCCCAGGTAGAAATCGAACCTACGATCTTCGGATTAGACGTCCAACGCACTATACATTGCACTACAGGGACACAATGAGCGATTTTCATTTTTTAAATATAGTATTGGACTATTATATTTTGTTACTATTAATTCATTAATTAAATTTAACTAATGAATTAATATTTGAAAAAACTGTATTAATATCAAGTGTCATTCACACTACAAATTTAAAAAAATGTATTTGAACTTGAATGGAAGAATAGAAAGTATTTTATTAACGATTGAAATATATAGGGAGATTATGAAGTATATAATAGTAGGAATTGGAATAAAAGTCTGGCCTTATGTTTGAAAAGAAGTATTTAAACGAATCTTTTCTCTCTCACATACACACGCAAAGAGAGAAAGTAAAAGCTTATACACTAAAAATCACTTTAAAATTCATGAGAAAAGAGAAAAAAGTGTTAACATACCCAATAAAATCTTAGCTTGGTTTTGAGAGGAGGTTTCATGCCCTTTTTAAATCTCTCCCTGCCATAACTCAGCATTTCAGGGTCTTTCAAAACTCGTCCAAACATACTGATCATGAAGCCTTTAGATACTTGTGAATCAATCCCATTGGGGCCTATTATCTAAAATGAAAGGCACTAAAATCTAAACTGCGTTCAAATTTATATTATAACTGTTTGTTTTTTTTAAAAATGAGTAAGAATTTACCTCGATAACTTTAAGCATCATGTGATTCATAAATGGAACTGGACCATTTAAATGGTATTTTTCGTTAAGCAAATCATTGCTTTTTTTTAACCCTTTCGTCAGTGCATGTATCTAAGATCATAAAAAGTAATTTTAATAAGTTTATTAAATACTACGGTGATAACATTTCAAATCTACTGCTTAGAAAATTAGTTACTTTGAAAAAATTGTGGAAGTACTTCGTAAGATTATCTATCCCCAAAGGCGAGGAAGCACCAGGCATTACTTCTCTATGAATAAATAAAAATGTTAATTAAAACATCAGATAATGAGTTATCGCTGCATCAACTTTATGAAAATTAAGGTATCCGACTACGTTCGGAAACGTGATTTTTCAAAAGAATATAAATTGATAATATTTATGATATTTAGATTCACACACTTAGATTAGAAAATGTATATAAAATTGTTTTAAGAATATTATTACAATAAGAAATTATTTAAATACAATATTTTGACAAAAAATGAACATAGAAGGACCCATTTTCAAAATAGTCTTCTTTTGTGAAAAATGCTCCTATTATAATAATATTTTGCCCGTATATAGCTCAGATCTCTGTACAGAAGCTCAACTAGAATTTTTGAAATATATATCTTAGAAGTGGGTTTATCTATGTTTTACGACACCAGAGGGGAGAAATTTTAAGAAAAAAACGCCGATAATTTATTTCAATTGGTGGTAACTCTGAAAATAATGGGAATTTTTCAAAAGTCCTACTTCAGACTCTCTGGGGAAATCTTTACTTTATATAAGCGAAATATTATTATTTTAGAATCATTTTTTATAAAAGGAAAACATTTTGAAAAAAATATTATTCTAACTTAATTTCTTGCCAAAATAGTGTATTTAAATAAAATTTTTTTGTCAAAATGTCCTTAAAACAATTTTATACATGTATTCTAATCTAAGTGACACTAAATATCATGGAAATTATCCATTTATGCGCTTTTTTAAAATCATGGTTCCGAACGTAGTCGGATACCTTAACGAGTCAAGAAATCGTATGTAGAAAAATGATATATTATCATGAATATATTATAGTTCACAACTTTTCCTATATATATATATATCTTGTTCAAATTTTCAGTCGTTAATGAAATATTTTTTATTCATCCATTCAAGTTCAAACACATTTTTTTTTTAAATTTGTAGTTTGACACTTGATGTTAATAGTTGTTTCAAATATTAATTCATTTATTAAATTAAAAAATGAATAAATAGTAACAAACAAAAATGATAGTCCAACAGCATATATAAAAAGAAAATCGTTCGTTGTGTCCCTGTAGCGCTATGGATAGCGCATTGGACTTCTAATCCAAAAGATGTCGGTTCGAATCCCACCTATTATGGCTTAATTTCTGACAATGTAATTTCTTGTTTACCATTCTGTTTTATTAGAATAATTAAATTTAATTAATGAAGAAATAGTAACAAATAAAAAAATAGTTCAATACCCTATATAAAAAGGAAAATGAAAAATTGCAAGGAAAATCGCTTTCTATTTTGTCATTCTTTTCTGTTTGTGTGTTTTTCATCGTAGTAAAAATGTCTGGCCAAAGTAAGAAATTAAATTTTTTAATTTTTCTTTTTTTCATTTTGTATACTCGATCCATTTTCTAGATTTTTTCCCAGTTTTCTAAATTCCTCTTGTTTTTTTTTTGTTTTTTTAAATCCTGCAATTATATTTTTCCATGTTCTTTTCCATTAAATAAGTAAGTAAATTTTTGATGGTTTTACCTTTTTTTTTCTTTTAAAATATATGCAATTTTACTAAGTTGAAGACTTTTGTCAGAGATAAACTTTTTTTGACATGGTTTCATGTCAAGTTCTAAGTAGTAGGCCACCATCTTGGATTGAAAATTACTGGGTGCCAAATAAGGCGTTTGGCGCGTAGCGTATTGATATTAATTTAGCTCTCTATTTTTATTAATTTTGTTAATAATAAATTGGCAAAATAAACTTAAATAAGCAATGAAACTGAAACCTAAAGAGGTTCATATTGCATGATTTCAAAGCAGTTTATAATGGAACCAATTTTATACATTATCATGAATTTTTTATCCCATTGCATTTATTTTATCAATATTTCTTTTTTTTATTTCTGTAATACCTAATCGATATTATAAATTTTCGTGAATTCCATGGCTTAAGACTTTTAATAATTAATCTAGGTATAATCACAAAAAATTGAACCTAAACAGGAAATGAAGTAAAAATTCCGAAATTTTTGTTGAACAAAATTTTTTTCAATAAAATATATGTTTTGAAGGTTGATATATTCTAATCCTAAATCTTGAGTGAGGGAGTGAATATTAACGTCGCACTGTTCAGCTACACGAGGGCTTTTGGCGATTGACCGCGTAATTTTGAACCATGGTCAAGTGACGGGGACGACACCTGAGCTGGCATCCCCTCTCCTAACTAACACACCACACATCTAAATCTTGAAGTGATTACTTTGACTTTACTAAGGATAATAGAAATAATTTTCTGACCCTTGCATTGTGCATCTCTGTCGTAAAAAATACGCGTTTCTGCACTATTCTTGAAAAGTCAGAAGTTAGGAAAATGTGACACAAGAAAGTAATATTTTCTACAACTTCACAAATTTGTTTATTTGCGGAAAATTATGATTCGGGTTAAACAGAATTTGAAGAAATCAATCATTAATAATTATTTTGTGGGGGTATCTACATAAGCCAGTAACAACCTCTGGACAGGATTGATCCCTTTTGTCTATTAAGACTACACAGTACCCTAAAAATTTCATTTTTACGGAATTTTTTCTACCTTTTTTTCTTTTTGCATTTTCTAGTGGCCCATATCATTGAGAAGCTTGCCATGAAATTTCAGATCTGTTAGCAAATTAGTTTTTAAGATATTTTAAGTTTTATGAGCTATCGCTTTGGTTTCGGTTTCATTTTAAAGCATTTTTCCACTCTTAAATCGAATTAATTAAAAATATTTTTGAGCTTTTAGTTTAAAATGGTTATTAATTCCAATTTTCATTACAAAAATCATTTCTGCTTGATTATGTTTTGAGTTTCTTGGGTTCTCCTAATTAATTAATTAAGATTAATTTCATGGCCAATTTTTCTTTAAAAATAGTTTGTATAACTTAAAAGCTTCATCATTATTTTTTTCCTGTAGAGAAAATGCCATGGTTAATGCGTTCTCAGGTTGCTGTGAGAAACAATATTTCGAAGAGATGGAATACTACTGAAAATCATATACCTAAAAATCTGTCCTCTGATGATTCTACAATTAGACTTCCGAATACACGTATTCTGAATTCAAATGTTGCGGCTATAACTGAATATTTCCTTGATGTACCAAACTACATTATACTAAACATATTGTAGTACTATATTTTAGTATTTTAAAGTCGTACGACAAGAGCTAAAAATTCCTAAGCTTCCCTAATTTAAAACTGAAAAAAATTAAATTTTATGTGGAAACCTGACTATTTTTAGCTTAAGTTAGTATCATTATTATTTTGTATATAAATGCTTTGTGTTTCAAAACTTTTGTGAAAATATTAAGTTAAGGTAAAGCTGAATAAACTGACGTCTTAACAAATTCCATCAATATTATGCAAAAATATATTTTGAATTAAAAATTTTATTTTCAGTCATATTTAATTAAAATAGTGTTTTAATGTAGAGAACATACATTGAAAAATAACATATTAAAAAATTAGACCTTACGGGCATTATAAGTTTCTGTTTTATGACTTCACACAGAAACTTTAAATACGTTTCTCTTTCAGACTTTCAATTTTGAAGGTATAAGTGTTTTCTAATCCCTAAGGTTTTTTTCCTGTTCAAGATAAAGCCTTGAATTTTTTCTATATACTTCCAATAGTATGTTCTATAAAAGTTAGTATCGATTTAGGGCTGAGATCTCTAGTTATTTTTCTCAAAAATGCTAAAGTTGATATTTTAAAAATTTTATTCTAAGTTAAAATAATTATTAAAAATCAACAAGGGAATAGATTTTCAAATCCATTCTAGTTTTTCTTTGCAATAACCTAAGAAACATAAATAACTTAAAATGACTAAAAAAATTTTAAAAATTGAGTATTTTATAAGAGTTTGAATATACTTCGAAAATTCCTAATTTTTTAAAATTGTAAAATAATGGCTGGTCAAACTGAGTTTTTACTTACAGAATCAGCTTAATAATATGATCTAAATATAAGACATCAATTATTTTTACTGCAACTGTCTCCAAAAAGATTTTTTGAAAAAGGGTACCGTGTAGCCTTAATTATGCTACGCGGCTACGGACCCTAACGTCGTGAGTTCTCTTCGGATAAGCACCTCCATATTG